ATGCGTTGACATTTTAATCACCTAACAATACGATTTGTTTTTATTTCGTAACCAATCTTTTGATTGCACTTGAAGGTAAACAAGTAGGTACCTTCAATTCATCTGGAAATTATTATGACCGTATTTAAGGGGAGGTGGTGGTTTTTCGGATCCTTGAAATGTTCGTTTGTTTAATTTACGCATACAAAATAAATTGTACAAATGTAATAATATAATCGACCTTAAAATAAAATGTTCTTAATAATTGATTCATAATGTCATTAATATGTGTTAACTCATAAATTACAAGTTAGCAATTTAAAAACAGTTTACACAATACATTTCTATTGAGTTCATATAACTTTTAACATACACAATATTGTACAGGCCCTTAATAACGCCCTTATATATGGCAGCCGAAATAAATGTCAGTTTTAAAAAAAAATAGATAAATACAATATTATTATATTTTTAAATAGAACGTATACACGACGTTGTTATACACGACTCTATAAAACAGAAAAAAAAATACAACAAAAAGTTACCACTATATTTTATTGATATATTTTTTTAGTATTACAAATATTTAAGGCGTGAAATCGCTTTAACACAAACACGTGTTAAACAAACAGCAACCATATTGTGTAAACAAGTGAACATTTAAAGGTATATTTTATCTTGTTGTAAATAAAACATTCGGTTCCCATAATATATTCGGTGATTAATTAATATGCGAGCATAAACAAAAATATATCCCACACGAATGATAACGATAAGTGCTGACCGTTCCGAAGACTTCCGACAATTTATGACTATTTCGCTACCGTACCACTGGGTGGTATCCAAACATTAAGACGTTAACCATCGAATTAATATTATAAATTATAATTAAACGGAGTGATCAACTTTTACGTAAGAGACTCGTATTAGTTCAAAGAACACTAAAGTTTTTGCAAATATTTCTTTTACATAATTTAGTCGTCACAAATCAAAATTTTTAGGATAATAATATAGGAAAATAATATTTTTTCTCTATTTGTATTGATATTGTTAATAATTAACAGAATAAATAGTTGACCATTCATTATTTAATCATAGTTAGTAAATAGGATAAGTTTAACATTTTCAGTCCAAAAATAATTTTAAGATCTCCTTAATCTTTAAATGGTGAAAAATCCTTCGAATAGGTAAATAATTTGTGGATCTGCAATAAAATTGTTTTATCATAGTTTAACACTGGGTACATAAAATAATATATTATATTATGATATGTTATGGCCTACAGGAAGGCTCTGCACCTATGTACGTTGTATATACGTGAGTTTTTATTTTTTACATAATATGTGAATATGTATCATAGGATTTGAGGAAATATCAATATACGTGTTTCTATTTTATTATTTTTGTTATATTATATTATATAGAACGAACAGAGAAATTCATAGACCGTTATATCAGTTTATAATCTCTGAAAATATCATGTGCATCAAAATAATTAAATCATGTTTGTTTAATGTTCATTGTACTCATAGCTAGTATTCATGCAATATGTACTGAATGCTATTGCATTTGCATATTATTATAAGATTAATATAATAATATGAATTAAATTATTAACTGTTATGTATGTTAATATTTTTTTTATTTTAATTATTCGGAAAAAAATAAAGTAGTTGATTTTTTTTTTTTTGATTATGAAAAAACAAAACTTTATCTAAACAAAAAAAATTATTGCGTGTTATATTGTTTATGGGGGAGGACGATCTCCCCGACACCCCACCCACGACCCACCACTCAAAAATTAAAATGTGTACCTACGGCGCCGCCGCTTACAATGTCGTTTATAATATGTTATTTATATGCCCAAACGAAAATATATTATGCGTGACGCAATGTGCAGTGCGTAAGCCCGTCAACTAAATCCATAAAGCGTTTGGTGTATAATAATATTATTGTCCATATATGGATACGAATACGTCTTGACAATTCCTAAACAGATATGCCATATGCGTACAATATTTAGCGTATATTGGTAATGATATGTCTATTCATGGTTTCGTATTATTGGTGATCCGAGGTCGACGTTATAATATATTATTATACTGTACGATTTGTACGCGTATGCTGTATTAATGTATAATATTATATAATATTATATTATATAGGTACATGGGTACTGCAGAAATAATAATTAATCCGGGAGAAAACACGCACGCCGTTCGTACCGATATGGTTACTGCTGAATGTAAAAGTATTAAAATATATAAATATAACATACAGGGTGATCATTTGTATCTATTAATAAAACTACTCTTAGAAGACATAATTATTTAAATATATTTTTTTTAGACTTAAAAACACGCTTTATTTAAAAAAAATTTTTCCGGTTATCTGCAGAGTAAAATATAAGTTGTGTTTTTACGTTTAAAAATTCTTTGTTTTTTATTTGATATTGCCCAGTTTACGATTCATTCTGTATGTAATATGAATATATGATAAATCAAAACACGCATTAACGTAGGTACCTGTTGAAAATTGGTTAATAGCATAGCCGCATATAGGTACTATATTATTATAATTCTAATTACATGCATTTCTTTCCTTATCTATTTTTAATACATGTACTTATAACCTTTTTTTCTATAATGACGATTGCAAACAACGACCAACGAGTGGATAAATATTTAAATGTAAGATAGTAATAATAATATAGATAAAATGCATATTAAATTATTTAAGAATCAAAAGTTTCGCAATTTCTCATGTTTTGTTTTAAAGCAAGATAATGCGCTATTTGTACCAATGTAACATTCAGAATACAAGTGGAACAGAAATACCTAACAAATGAAAAATGTAATCCTAATTAATCGTATGAAAAAATTCATGAAAATTGTTTGGATAGTATATAATTTAAGATTTAGGTACTTACCTGTCTGAAAATTATACAACAAATATTTAGAAAAAAATTATTACGTTTCGAATAAATTTACTAAAAAAAAAATATATATTAATACTCTCAAACATTATTGAATTTTGAATTATAGTTAATTATTATTTTTAATTTTTCCAAAAAAAATTTTAATAAAATACAAAAATTTAAACAAATTTATATTTTACTTACTTGAAAAAAAAAAAAAAAGTATAACTGTATAATATACAATAATATACCACATAAATCAGTATGTATATGACATTATAGGTAGCCATTAGGTATAAATAGGTATAGATATAGATAGGTAAGTCCGTAGACCGTAGGTACTATGTAGGTACTAACTACATGATAAATTAATATAAAAGTTAATAAGAAATTGCGTTTAAAAATATATTCTAAAGGTATTGCAACGAAAGTAATGTGTTAACGTTGATGTAGGGTATTTAATTTTAGATTATGAGCGAAGCGATGAATGTATTGATTTTACAATGATGTGTGTTTTTTTTTTATATTTGGTTGTGTCTTTGTACACGATAAGAAGTCAAAATAATGATTTGATTTTCAACTTCAGTATCTTGTTCGGTGGGAATGTGATTCTAGTTGGTGCTAATTTAAAATTTAAAATGTCCAGTAATTTTCTTTCAGATTAAATTTTTATGAGACTTTGAAGTTCATATTTTAAATTTTTATAAAAATGAATATTCACTCGATTTCTCGTGTAGCGATTTTGTTATTTTGTTGCAATTTTCACTGGTTGTTTATATTAGCATTTTCTACAAACATTTTCAAAATATTTTGATTTGTTTTGAACTGTTTACAGACATTTTCAGTACCTACCTATCCAATTATTTTAGTTTTTTTTCTATAATTGTCAATTCAATTTATTTGTTGGGTAAAAATGTGTGGGAATGTAATACATGTCTCCTGATATACCTATTGTTATTATAGTATTTTAAAAATATTAAAAAGAGGAACATTTTTTTTTCCAAGCATTTAAAAAAATGTTAAATGTACTAACTAGTTAAAAATGTATGAAATGTTCAAATTATATAGCTAAGGATTGAAAATTTAAAACAAGGTTCCACGTAAATATGTTATACATAAATTACTTTATTCACAATAATATCATCAAATATACTTAGTAATATCATAGGCTGACTGACCGTCTTCGCTCAAAATCGTTTATCTTATACAATGATATTATATCATTGAATTCAAATTTAACACCATACATTACAGTTACACACTTGTAACCTACTGTACAGCAGAGTGACACAAATTTGCCCACCTTACAATACTGTAAATATAATTAGAAATTCAGCGTTTAAGAAAATAATACTATTAAACTTGCGTATAGGCCATAATATCACTATAATATATTATATTGCCGTCCAGATAAAAGAGACCACGAAATCCATCATAATATAACCACCTGGGATTTTCTGTTGAAAAACGTGCAGCGATGGGTTCACCATTTTATGCCAGCCACAGAACGTTTGAACACGAGAGTATACAATATTATCTGGGTAAGACAATAAAATCACCGAGAGAAGTATATGTTCAGCGAGATGAAATCAGCTGATCGTATTAAATCGAATGGCACGTCATAATATTAATATTAAGAAGCAATATTATGTTTAATATTGGCCAATAAACCATACATGACGTAATATAATTCTTTTTATTATTATCCTGTTAAGGTAGCTATTTTAAGTCACCCCGCCAATAATTATCACCGGATACGTAGCCGCGAATTACCACTTAAGCCGAAAACCCGTACCTAGAAATAGCCAATCAATTTTCACCGTCGCTATCAAATTTTTCCAATTATTATCGTTCAGCGTTCAGTTTCGGCATACTAATAAGTAGGTATTTAATAACATAATAGTCATATCGTGAGTCTATTTAATCATAATGATATACGTACGTATCGGCAAGACGAGCGGAGAGGTCTGCGATCGGCTGCTGACGGTGGCGCTGCGGCTGATAAAATCCGGTCGAAAGCGCCCGACGCAACAATTTATAAACGCGTATCTGTAGTTATAGTATTATTGTCGTTCACGCGACCGTTGCAGATTCGAGTGAAATTTTATCGAAAATAGTTGAATAGGTACCGACGAAATGGATACGATTCGGTTGTAATTTCGTGTGGCGTCGACGCGCAAGAGTCGTCGTAACAGTGAGCGGGAAAATCGAGATCGAGATTATCTTTGATATTTCGATGGTCTTTGGACGAGAACGGTGAGTTGGTGTTACCGCCGTCGTCGTTTTTGTTGTTGCTGTAGCTGCTGCTGGTGCGACACTGCCGAGAGGCCGTGTACGTTTGTCGTGTCGACCCGCCAAAGTCGCGTGGCTTTGGGATGGTTTGATGGCCACAGCGAGACGGAGGCGGCGGGAGATTTAAAAATAAATCTTTCGCGGCGGCGGCTGTGGCTCTCATGAGACGACACGCGCACGCGCACGAGCACACGGTGGGATCACACCGAGAAACAGACTTAGACTCACGCTCACACACACTCGTAATTTTTGACGCAATTACACGGACGACCACCGTCACAGGCCACAGCGTAATGTTTACAATAATAATGTAGGTATATATATAAACATTAAAATTTGCATGATAAATTATGAACAGAAAGCAGGGCAGTGTGGAGCTGGCGTCCAATTTTCAGGCAGAGACGCAAATTTGTTGTTGGGACATTGTACCGGCGTCAATTTTTTATGAACGCGCAATATCACAGGGTGCGTTATCCAGGATTATTTTTAATACCGGTTCAAAAATTTGTGACAGTAGGTGGTACTATATAGCAGAGTATTTTTATGTTTCCAATAAACGAGGAGATTCACTCAACAGGCTACCAACAGTTATTTTCCTAGTTTTATTTCGTGAGGGTTTTTGAAAAATATTTTTTTACACAGCTTAAGTTTAAATACCTACCTATTGATGTGTGACAAGAGTAAATGTTAGTAAATTCGAGGTGCGATAATTCTAATTTCTAAAATAATGATTATCTGTATAATATAAAAATGGAGCGTGAAATATGTACGTTACCTCATCAATCGAGAACTGCTGGTCCGATGTGGCTCAATTTTTTTTTATCATATTCGTAATTCCAGTAGAAGGTTTTTGCGAAAGAAAATTTTAAGAAAATCCACTGGAAAAGTAGGAAATCTGGATGTAAACAATACAACAGATACAACAGTGGCGCAACAGTGTATTATAATATATTGGTTGCTATTGGTTAATGGGGCATGTTTGTTGATTTGTATTATTATTTTTTGTCAATATAATATATATATATATATATATATATATATAAATTTATGTTTCGTTTAGATTAGACCTCTGGGAAAAAGACAGGCTACTTTAAAAATGGTTAAATTTGGTTTTTTCATTAATCTGATATTAGTACGGTTAGGTTAAGTTAGGATTTTTGTATTAATTGATTATATTAATCCACCATATAGGTACCTAGGTGGAATACGACAAACTTGTTATAACTTTGATACTTTAGAGTTAAATCATACACTTATGTACAAACAGCACGGGGTCCGCGATCTATCGCACGTAGATTGTCCAACTGATAATATACTGCTGCGAATCAGAATTTTTTTCCGTGCAACGGAAAAGTTAAGATACATTTTGAACACCATACACCAAATATTAAATAACGAGTTGAAAAAAGTTTGAGTCATATAGAGTTGGTACATTTAACGGACAACGAAGTGCATGGGATCAGCTAGTTTTTTATGTATAATATTAATCTGTATATTATTTTATATTTCAACAGTTTTAGAAGCAAATTGAACAATATATTATTATCTGATGCCGTTAAATTAAAAAAAAAAATGGAATTCGATCAGCCGTATACTTAATATCGATTTCGAGTCATTAGGTCACTATGATGGATATATTACATTTGAATTCATTAAGTACCTACGTTATAATATTATAATTAATGCTATTTTAAGATCAGATAGATACATACTAGTATTTTTACTAAAACTTAACTTAACTTAACTTAGCAAGTAAAATCCATGAGTTTAACGCCATAGTATAAATTAACTAAATTAATTAAATCGTTTAAGGAAAACCATTTTTAAGGGACACATATATCAGTTTCTGTTTCTAAGAATATTCCTACGTACCTAATACAATAGGTTAAACTAACTGTAGGTAATAGGTATACTGCAGGATAAGTTCTAGGTACAAAACATTTTTGAAACACTTAAATAAGTACAATAAAACATATTGAAACTACTTTTCCAGTTTTGAAAATTACGATTTTCTATGCAATAGGAATTTTTATTTCTTATCTGTGATAAAATTATTTTTTCCGTATTGTTAATTGTTATTGTTATACACTTATATCTAGGTACCTAAATATTTAATTAAATTATGTTTGATTTTAAATTTAATATTAGGTACTTACATTGAATTTTAGAATAAAAAAAATGTAGGTACAACTGTACAAGTATAACAATTAGTTAATAAAACCATAATCTTCGTGAAATTAGCAATATTTCACTACGTGGATTCCATATAGTACTACATCTCTACAATGCACTACCTACATGAAGTCTACACTACATTTGGTATACACATTTTATTAAGAATTTATTATTTAAAAAATATCCAACGATTGAACCCAGTCATTTATTTTGTTGATATAAAAACAATATTATTATTTATAATATTGTGATGACAGGTGTTATGTGATAAATATCATCTTAATGACTTAACTTTTATTAATAAATTGCTGTATTATTATTTATTATTGTTATGTGTGTGAATAGTGAAATTGTATTCTATAATTTATATTGTGTCCCCAGAACTCTTATATAGGACAAATTAAATGGGATGCAAAAGTCAAAACCTTTAAGGAACTAAAGAAAAGGAGAGTAATCGGTTAGAATGGAGAACTAGATTTGTGAACCAACCTTCGGGTTGAAAAAAAAATTATATTTATATAACATAATGTATGATTAGCGTATGAATAAAAAAGGAACAATTTAAAATGTATACTATTCAACACTTATATATTATTAAACTCTACATGAAATATATTAAAATTATATTTCGTATCAGTAGAAGTATACCTAACAACAATATAATATACTAAACTTTACATATATATACTTTACTCACAATGCTGTGCACGTTCTATTACTAATACAACATCCACTTACCTATAATAATACGTCAGTACAGAATGTTACAATATAGTATAACACGTGTTGTACCGATGTGAACGTGTATTATAATATTATGCCGAACACTGCACCAGGTCTAACCGTTATAAATCTGCCGCGGCCAAATATGGTCTCGAAACACACACTCCAGCGACCTGCCTGCCGGACCGTTTCAAAATAGGTTTATAATTTATATGTGTGTGTGTGCGTGTGTGTGTGTGCGTGTGTGTGTGTGTGTGTGTGTGTGTGTGTGTGTGTGTGTGTGTCTGACAGTACCTATGTAATATGCACATATATTATTATTTATTATATTATTTTTATATTATAGGTATATCATAGGTACGACTTGTGATTAAAGCCGGTGGCCTATAATATATATAGTACCATCGATGCCGACTGTCATGATGACGAGGGGCTGTACATAATATGTGTAGATTTACTAATTTATTATGTTTCTCATCGCAAAAAAAAGAGTTCAATGTAATAATTACTAATTAGACATATAAAATATTATTATAGTATTACGCAGTGTTGTAAAAAATACTTTTTAAAAGTATTTAAGTAATTACTCAAATAATCTTAAAATAAATTATTTAAAATACCACCCGAATACTATAAATAGTAAAGTATTTGAGTATTACTCAAATACTTTTCAGAAGTATTTGAAATAATCATCAAATACTTTTTAGAAGTATTTGAAATAATCATCAAATACAAAAAAAAAAATTCTTTTTACTTTTCAGTCCTGAAAAAATTTGTAATAATCAAAAATTTGTTTATTGCATTTTAAAAACATGATTTGTTCAATAATAAAAATTCTGATCAGTCATGTTAGTTGCACCACAAGTCACAACAATGAACTTTTCTTTACAAAGTTATATATTAATTCAAAACTATAATATGTATTTGGATATCTCATAAAGCCGTCGACGTTATATATCTTTTCAATCTTTGTCGACAATAAACTGTCTCCTGGAGAAAAAAAACATTTTATCGACAAAAACCGATAGGTACCAAAGTGTCTGTGTGTGTTTTTATTTAGCAAGAATAATTATAAGGAGAAACAAATTAAGAATTAAAAGAATAAAAATTAAGTATTCAATAAAATAGTATTCAATATTAAAAAAAAAGTATTCAATACGAAAAAAAGTTTTTGAATACTTTTACTCAAATACTCAACAACACTGCAGGTATTATGTATGAATACCAAATTATATTAAACCATTTAAATCGAAATAAATTAGTTTAATAACGCTCTGCTAGGCTAATCGAAATAGATTCCATAACGATTGTATTAACAAATAGGTATCTAAAAAAGTTCATTAGTTGATGTCACTCTGCTGTACAGTAGGTTTAAGGTTACAATTGAGTCAATATATAATGGATTGTATTACACTTGAATTAAATGATACAATATCATTGTATAAAAAAAACGATTCTCAGCGGAGATAGTTTGTCAGTCTGGATTTTTATATTGTTATTATTTATTATAGTCTGTACCTAAATTGAATAAATTAATATTATAAGATTATTATTTTTTATTCGTTGCAATAGTGATAAACAAAGCGTTAGAAATTAAAATCTCATCTTTAGCGGTTTTTTATAATTCGTCGGTAGTTTTTACAGAGGCATTAAATAACTATTGAGAAAATTCAAAAATGGTCTGTCTAAAAGAAAAGGTACTATTATGCTACTATAGGAAGTCTTTGATAGTCTCGTTGTGTCTTCTATAATCTCATTCGATTTACTGCTTTGTGGAAACCTGTTGAGTCGTTATAACTAAAAATGAACTATTCTGTCTATATGCATTTAACGTTTATTTTACCTATATTTATTCTCGTTTTAATTTACTACCAAGGCGGGATAAATAACTAATTTACTTTTAACTATATAATATAACAAGCAAATAGTTTTTGTGATAATTGGATATGTATATAATATTTTGATCTATTTATATTGTTACAATGTTACCTATGCTTTTCATTACTTATATTTTTATGTTGGTACTCTACGTCTCTACAACCTTTACATTTATTAATTATACATCGATATATTGTATTTAAATTGTTTATATATCTTTGAAAATGGCCACTAGGTGTTCAAATAATAACTATAATAATAATAATAATAAAAAAATTTTTAAACACATTGCATGAACGCATGTGTGCGACTGTTTTGAGGAAACCTGTTGAGCCATTAGAACTTATAATTAAAAACGTTGACTTAGCTTGAATGCCCCATAGTTAA